AAGTGATAATTATAAGTTGAGTTGCCACCTACTGTAGAATCGCTACAGGGCTCCCCCGCTAGATATTACCTTATGCGGCTGCTGCCTTGACCTCGTAACTCGTGGTGGCAGCGCTTCGCTGACTATCGTCGACGGCACTTTGGCTACTGTTTGCGTTCCTTCTTCCAAAAAAGCGGGCTTGAGGCGGTCAATGGAAACGGTGATAGTTTTTTGATTCCTGAGAAGCTTGAAAAATTTCTCGTTCCGTTTCAGCACTTGGAATGGTCCTTCGTACGGCTCTTCCAATGCTGTACGCACGCGATCTACTCGAACAAACACGAATTCGCAATTTTTAAGCTCAGGTTGGACGAATGTTAGCTGAGCCCCGTGGCGAGTTGTTTTCCCTGGCTGAGCAGCAGCAAAGTGCCGCCGTAATTGCTTAATGAATTCCGTTTCGTTTAGCTTACTTTCGCTAGGGCAAAAAAATTCGCCTGGTACCCGTAATTGCGTTCCAAAAAGCATATCAGAGGGACTTGCTCGAAGATCTTGTTTGATGGCGGTTCGCAAGCCCAGTAGGACCAGTGGGAGAACTGCGCACCAATCCTTCGTTTTGTGGCACTTTATAGCGGCCTTAAGCGTTCTATGCCAGCGCTCTATCATACCATTGGCTTGGGGATGGTAAGCCGTTGTTTTAAGGTGTCGTATCCCCATGATGCGCATGAGCTCGCCGAAAACTGTCGACTCGAACTGCCGACCTAAGTCGGTTGTGATCTGTACGGGTACGCCGAAATGTGCAATCCATCCCTCAATTAAGGCGCGTGCAATCGTTTCTGCGGACATATCCGGGATGGGTATCGCGGCTGGCCACCGAGAAAATCGGTCTATACAGGTAAGACAGTATCGGTTATTATTCGATGTCGGCAGCGGCCCTATGATATCCAAGTGGATATGTTCAAATCGGCTATCCGCTTTGTTGTAATCACCAAGAGGAGCTTTAGTATGCCGTTGAACTTTATTTTTCTGGCATTGAATACAGTGGCGCACAAACTGAGCGATCTCCTTCGCCATACCTGGCCACACGTAACGTTCCGATATTAGTTTTTGCGAAGCTTTACGTCCGGGATGTGCGAGGCTGTGCAATTTTGCGATTACCTGTTGACGTAGGCTGCTTGGTACAATCGGCCGTAACCTAGTTTGTTTTGCGTCGCAGATCAAGACTGCGGAGCTGTTGGGTATAGTAATTTTCTTCAGCTGTAGTGATGAATTTGATGAAGATAGATATTCCTTCAGTTCCTCGTCTGAGCACTGTGCCTTCGCGATGACATCGAAGTCTAGCGCGTCCATCGTCTGAACTCGGGATAATAAGTCGGCAACGTCGTTCTCTTTCCCCGGCAAATGCCTTATGTCGGTAGAAAATTGGGAAATAAAATCTAGCTGGCGGGCTCTCCGAGGAGGTGCATCGTTTACGGTTTGTGTAAAGGCGTAAATTAAGGGTTTATGATCAGTGTAAATTACGAATTGCCTACCTTCTAGTATGTGGCGAAAATGCTGAATAGCCTGGTAGACCGCAACCAACTCCCGATCATACGTTGAATATTTTTCTTGCGCTGACGTTAGTCGCTTTGAGTAGAATCCGAGCGGCTGGTGTACATCACCGATGATTTGATGAACTACGGCACCCACTGCGTTGTTCGAGGCATCGGTCGTTAGAGTCAGTTCCGCAATCGGGGACATGTGACTCAGGAGAGTAGCGTTGGCCAGTTCATCTTTACAAGCCGTAAATGCTTCGTTGGCTTCCTCGTTCCATTTTATGATGGTTTTGTCGTGTTTGATGTTGCCCTTTATTAATTCTTGCAATTTTCGTTGGTTGCTCACAGCGTTAGGCAAAAAGGGGCGATAAAAATTGAGCATTCCAAGAAAACGTTTCAGATCTTTGGCCACAGTTGGTTTCGAAAACTTGCGAATCGCCTCTACCTTTACATCCATGGGTCTGAGCCCTTCCGCGCTGATGGCGTGGCCGAGGAAGTTAACTTGAGTTTTGCCAAATTGGCATTTGCTGGCATTAATGGCCAAATGATTCTTCTTTAAACGTTCGAAAATTTCCCGTAAATGTTTTTCGTGTTCGATTGGATTCGCAGAAGCCACGAGGATGTCGTCTATATATGCAAATGCGAAATCGATTCCTTGCAACACGTCGTGAATGTGCCGCTGAAACGTCTGCGCTGCGTTTCGTAAGCCAAAAGTCATGAAGTGAAACTCGAAGAGTCCGAACGGCGTCGTAATTGCCGTTTTAGGAACATCTTTTGGCTCGACAGGTATCTGATTGTAAGCACGTTGTAAATCTATTACCGAAAAAAATGGATTTCCCATTCAATATATGCGTGACATCGTGTAAAAATGGTATGGGGTATCGGTCGGCGGTTGTTACGGCGTTGAGCGACCGGTAGTCCCCGCACGGTCTCCACTCGCCGTTGGCCTTGCGCACCATGTGCAGGGGACTAGCCCATTCGCTGTTCGACGGCGTACAAATACCCCGCTCTAGCATGTACTGAAACTCACGCTTTGCTGCGTCTAGTTTTTCGCCTGTGAGACGGCGAGGTCGTGCGAAAACTGCGGGACCGGTTGTAACTATGTGGTGTGTTACTTTCGATGACGTGCATTTCTTCGCGTTGTTAAGTATACTTAACTCCTTGAACTCATCTAGCAGACTAGCGTATTTATCTGGCGCCTTGATAGTTACAACTGATGATATGTTCGCGTGGATAGCGTGACCTTTAGCTTCGTTAAGCGTCGTTCGGTCGTGAAGCATGTTGCGTACTGGATCCACGAGTAAATTGAATTTACGTAAAAAGTCTAAACCGATGATGTGCGCTGAGACGTCTGCTATGATGAAGGTCCACTCAAAGTTTTTTCCCAAACCTAAGGATAGGCTCATGCGTCGTTCGCCGTACGTTTTGATTGACGTGCCATTCGCTGCGTATAATTGAAGGTTTACTGCTTTCCCACATTTGTCACTTGGTCGAACTGGTGTAACGGATACATCGGCCCCGGTGTCAATTATGAATTTAAGTTTGGTGTTGCTGTCCGTGATTGCGATGCGTGCAATGTTGCTTACGGGTTTGTCGAACGTAGACAGCCGGCGGTCTGACTCCCCCATTAGTTTTTTGACTTCGAATTGAAACCGCAAGGGTCGCGACATTTTTGTGCATTGCGGCCGAATTTCGTATGAAACCAGCAGAATTCACCAGGAGCTGATTTTTTCGTTGTAAATTTTGAAGAAGGCCGTTTTGCAGATGGCCTAGATTGTTTACGCTGCAGTTGATCGAGCTGCCTCTCTATTCGCTCAATACGGCTGGATTCACTCGTAGGCTCCACCTGTGTTTCTAACCTCGTTGCCATTGCCACGTGGTTGTGATCGCTGACTTCCATGATTTTGTCAGCTAATTTGGCCAGTTCGGGCAGTTCAGATGTGGATGCCTGAAGGATAGCGCGAGTCTGAGGGGGCAAACGCTGAAGCCAAAGGGATTTGAGAAACTCGTTGCTTATTCTGTCTCGGGCGAGACCACTCAGCTCCCGTAAAAGTTGTGTGGGCCGTCGGTCACCTAGCTCGCATTCAGATAAAAGTTTTTTCATCTTTTTCTCTTCGCTTTCGCCGAACCGGTCGATGATGCACTTTTTTAAGTTTTCGTATTTTCCAATTTAGCTTTTCCTTCTGCTGGTGGTTGTAGCACTGCCTCCGTAATTTGCGCTAATACGTGAGATTCAATGGATGCGATCACAGTGTTAAATTTGGTTATGTCCGATGAGATTCCAGCAATGCAAAACTGGGCTTCTATTTGCGCGAACCAAATCTCTGGTCGCTCAGCCCAGAATGGTGGTATTTTAACGCTGACTTTATTAACGAAAATACCATTGCTTTCTTGGTTAAGCAGGTAGTCGTTGTTGGAAGGTTTTTGCTGGACATCGCTTGGCGTAGTTGCTTGATGTGGAGCCGGTGTTACTTCGTTCTCGGCCATTTTTTCGAAAGGATGGTGCGTTGCGAAAATTAGTCGTCGGGGTCACCAATTTAGCTGGTTTGGCTAATTTTATGTTGAAATAAGAACCACGTTTTT